TTATAAAGGAGTAAAACTTGCTGAGTGAATGGGGCCAATGGGAGAGGTGAGGAAACGGAAAGGGAGTGAATTATTCAAAGTACATGATATAGTTACAGGAAAAAATGAAGCCCATCACTATGCTTAATTAATATATGCCAATAAAAGTTTGTGTTTTAAACCATTAAAGGCATTTTAAATTTTAAAATATAATTGGAGTTTAAATGAAAAAATTAATACACAATAAGCATATACTGCTTCTGAGATTTATGAAGAATGCCCTTAATTCTGATGTTTTCTCCCAGTGATATTAACAAAGAAACATTTCTATAAAATCTTGAAGTCTGTTTTGGAAAAAAACATTACCCAACCATCATTATTCACCGTATCATTCTATTTTTAATTCTGACCCTCATAATAAGACTCACTTGTAAACATATCTTTAAAGTTTTTACTCAATTAATGAAAAAATACCATGCTAACTGGCAGCTTAAAGGAAGTTCCAAATAGTGATAACCTAAATTAGACTTTAAAAGCCAAGTGTTTCCACTAGTTCAATAAGATACTCTTCTGCTATCTGAAGATTCTGAACATTTTAACTAAGTGAATGTTTATTCTGTACATCTTGTTCTGATTACTGAGAATTACAGCAATAAGTGATTTCACTTCTGCTCTTAGCCACCTTGTTATCTATTAGATCATGCTAGTCCAACAAGCACAAAATTAACTCCAATTACATATGATTACAATGAGTGCAATAATTAAAACATAAAGATGTAGAGATTTAGGCTGGGTATGAAAGCACTTGCCTCTAATCCCAATAATTTGGAAGCAGGGGCAGGCACTCTCGTGAGTTTGTGGCCTGACTCTTCTACAAAGGAAGGTCCAAGCTAGCCCAGGTTACATGGATATATGAGACATGTATATGTATTATGTATGTGGAGAGAGAGAATGTGTGTGTGTGTGAGAGAGAGAGAGACAGAGACAGACACAGACACAGAGCGAGAGAGAGATTACATCTAACTTTATTACTTAGAATACTTGCTATAAAGCAGTGATTCTCAACCTCGGTTACATTTTAGTAACACCTTAAGAGCTTGGAGAAAACTTTGTGACCAGACTTCATCCAAATAAATCAGTATGTTTCATGACTTTCTAATCTCCCTAAATGAACTCACTATGTAGCCATGTTTGAAAACCATGTTAAAAGACCAGGAGGGACAAAAAAGAATAGGCAAGCTTTGGTTCAAAGGGACAGAGAATGGCACTTGGAAGAATCTTCTCCTTAATATAATTAATTTATTTTTACTCTCCAAACCTTGGATCATTTATCACATTCTCTGAAGAGTATTTTTGTACTTCCCCAATGATATCCATGAGAATCCTAATAACAGTAATATAAGTTATCACTATTTTTTTTTTTGAGACAGGTTTCTCTGTGGCTTTGGAGGCTGTCCTGGAACTAGCTCTTGTAGACCAGGCTGGTCTCGAATCACAGAGATTCACCTGCCTCTGCCTCCTGAGCGCTAGGATTAAAGGTGTGCGCCACCACTGCCCAGTTAAGTTATCACTACTTTATAGACTTTTCTATGTTCCAGATGCCATAACAAGCACTTTAATTATATTTCAATATTATCCTTCTGAAAGACGCTAGGAGCCAAGTAGCAGTATTATTTTTAAATTTTACATTTGGCAAAAGCAAATATACAACTAAAAACTGGTGCATTGGAAGTTCAACTAGCAAACTTGTGTTCTGAAAGATGAGCTACTGATCCTATGTAGCTCAAGTGTACTTCAGTCATATGGTGAAGCATATTATATTGTAATACATTTGTGATTTTCATTCATGACTCATTTGCCCAACCCATTGGCAGGTGTTGAGTTTATTCTCAATGTACTTGGTGCTAGAAATATGAACTCTGGGAATCAGTAGCATGGAGTTTACATCAACAAATAAGTTGACTGACTAAATCCTGCAAGTCACTTCTTTTTATAATTAAGTTTTTGTTGACCCACAACCATGGCCATTGGTTGACTGGTTTGTTACCTTGTATTGACCTTCATGTTACAAGATTGCAGTAGAGCAGTTATGGCAAAGCCTTAAACTATGATGCTCTGATCTATTCAACTATGTTCACAGCAGCATTATTTGCAACAGCCAGAACCTGAAAGCAACCTAGATGCCCCTCAACTGAAGAATGGATAAAGAAAATGTGGTACATTTACACAATGGAGTACTACTCAGCAGGAAAAAAAAAACAATGAAATTCACAAGCAAATGGATGGAACTAGAAGAAACCATCCTGAGTGAGGTAACCCAGTCACAAAAAGACAAACATGGTATGTACTCGCTCAAATGTGGATTTTAGACATACAGCAAAGGTTTACCAGCCTACAATCCATACCACCAGAGAAGGTAGGAGATGGGATAGGGGGTTGTTGGGGGGCAGGGGAGAAGGGGAGGAAGAGAGAACTGGGATTAACATGTAAAACAAGCTTGTTTCTAATTTAAATTAAAAAGATCACAAAAAATATGGCAGTCTTGTCATTTATAAAAAGTTTGACAGTCCATAATCTAGAACACAAGACAAGTGAGTCACTAGTGACTACCTAGTGATACTAGGTAGTGGTACTCACACACAGAATATAAAAAAAAAATAAGTATATATAAGGGTAGGATGTAGGGCAACCAATTCCTACAAGGCATGGTATTGGAAAGCTTGGAAGAATTACCCATATAAAAAGGAGCAACCAGATCAAGAAGATCATGTGGGCAGTGAGGCAAGGAACTAGAGTAACTATGAAAAAAATAAGGTAGGTAGGTTGAAGTGATGCTAATGAGATTTATGCACCTCATGAAAATGTAGTTTTGCTTTCTTTTTCATTTTTATCATTTTATTGTAGAGGAATAGATGGGCAGGGCCTTGTTATGTGGTCCAGGTAGTCCTGGAGGTCATAATCTTCCTGTCTCAAAGGGCTGGGTTCATAGATATGCACCACCCGGCTCAGTTAACAGAATTATGGACTCTCATTGGAATAGCTCGTGATGCACATGGCATAATGCACTCATGGGAATCAGAATTTCTGATATGCTACTGTACAGCAAGATGAGTAAGGTTAATTATGAACTATATATTTCAAAAGATAGGGTTGTTTTTTAAAAAAATATTTAAATAAAAAACAAAATAATTGAGACTACAGAGATCTTTAGCTTGATTTAAATGTTATGTATACACTCATGAATGAAAATATTACATTCCTTCAATAATATTGTGTTTATGTTGCTATGTATTAATTAAAAATAATCTAACTTAAAAGCACAGTAAACATTTGTAAATAGTTATTCGCTAACTTAAGTGACTAGTTCCTATGTAAAAGACAAATAAAATTTGCATAACAGGCATCAGTTCTTGAACTGATTGACCTGTAAGAATTATATCTTCTTCGATCCACACCACAGCTACACAACTTATCCCAGGCAGCTAGCACCATTGCAGACTTGCAATCCCAGCACTCAGTGGTTCAGGCAGGACAGTCTTAAATTCAAGGTCAGTCTGGATTACTGAGTGAGAATCTGTCTCAAAACCACAGCAGCAGCAGCAGCAGCAACAAAAATAATATGAAGGCTGCCATGTTTCTTTGTTTTCAGTTGTTTCAATTATATATAACTATTCACAGTAAGTGAAGTGGTTGCATTGACTGTACCTGGAAAATTCATGGGCAGTTCAAAGGGCTTCTGCGACTCGGAGTCTCCAAAATTCTCCTCACAAATCTCAGCCATGATCTTTTTAACTTTCAGACCCGTGATTTTAATCACTTCCCCTGTTGACAAACAGCATTCATTGCCGAACATTTCATAAATAGACCCTGAAAAGAAAGAAAATAATCTTTTTAAAGAAAAAAAAAACGTTAAACAGTAAAGAACAAAATTGTGTCAAGAACCTCATATAAAATATTTTTTCACTCAATTCCTCCCTTAGCCACCTAATAAACTGGAGTTCAATCTGACTATCCCAAAATGTACACCATGCACCAGGAAACATATTGGATTTCCACTTTATCCACTGGGAAAACTGTAAACAATCTTTTTATTATTATTTGAAATTGAATTTATGGTTTGCTCATCACTGTTAGCTCATTTATACAAGGTCAAACCACAGTCAGGTCTCCTGCTGTCAGGATTTATGGTACATTTTTGCCAGGTCACAGAATTCGGCGTATATGAGTCAACATTAATTTGAGTAAGTCCTGCAAACAGGGCTATAACACAATCCTAGACTCAAAGACAGAAAGGCCTGTGTACCAGGTCTTCACATTAACAGGTGAATTTTTCATTATTTTTCAGATCTGGTACTCTTCATCTTTGTGAATTTAAGTTTTCTTGTCCATTTTTATCTGTTGTTTTTTGACAAGCTGGAGCCATCACTCGATACCTTTGTGGCAATAGGTGGCAGACCAGCCCAGCAAAACAGAATAGCTTCACTTTGGTTCATGATTTCAACCTCCTTCTCGAAAAACCTTTTATCATAGATACTAATGTTAAGGTTTTCATTCATTTATTTTCGCTCTGTGTCTCCTGATGGAAGGAGAGTGGGCAGTGAAACCATCAAACTTTGAACATTAAGAAAGACAAGAGGTCATAGTCTGAACCATCAGCCCTAGTCAAAAGAGAACAACTGAAATCAGCGTCTCTAGAAGACAGTTCCATCACAAAGGAAGAGAAACTTATAACTGGTTTAAGGAGCATTACACAACTGCAAGCATTTAAATACGACAGCAATTTGTCCCTCCTTCCAAGATGGCTCAAAGTTTCTTGATAACACTAAATGTGAGGCTATGAAGATAAAACTCTAAGCTCTGTCTGCTTTCTGAGTTTTTCCATTTTGAAAAGTAAATTTTTTATTTCCATTTTTTTAGTGCCCTCACAGACTCTGGTTTGACATACATATTATATATTACATATAATAACCCTCTTATGGCATTCATGGTTTTCACAAAACTTCCTAAAGCTGGGATTTCACCGAGTTATTACACAAAGGACTTTAGGCTGGAATAAGCTGAGGTAATAAAATAAACAATTAAAAAACCCATGCAACATTTTCTGCCAGTGAACTCAGAAGAGTTATATGCTATGATGAATCACATACTAACATTTTATACCATTACCATTGTATCAACCTGCACTTAAATTTTTGTGAGTTTGGTTTTTATTGCTCCCAATTCAAGTTTAAGATTCATTAGAGAAAATAATAATTGAATTATATTTTTGGATGATTGCAACACATCCAGGCCCCTTTTTTACTCGGTCAGTAAACTGAGTGTGTTAGGCCTTGTGAATAGCAGTAGGCATCAGGGATAAAATGTAAAGATTTTTCCCTCAGAAGCACAGTCCTGCAAGGAGTGAGCAGGTAAGCAAACCATTGCCAAAGACCAGGAAGAAGCCATAAAGTAGGAAATGCAGAGTGTTGTGAAGTCTCAGAGGCATTTTGTTTCCACAGGGAAGAGGAAGTGGGAACAAATCCTGAAGGAGAGACAATAGCCCATGTAGGCTTTAAAGGAAGGTCACATGATACATAAATGGACAGAAGCCAATAGTACTGGACAGATAGTAAGATGTGGGAAAAAAAAACCCAACACATTCTGGAAACTTTAAGTAATTCCTTGTGCCTAAATTGTAAAGTAATAAAGGTGAACTGTTTAGTCTTGTTTTCAGAAGGAATATGTAGAGAAAATCAAAATTTTACAGTTTTTTAATTAAATTTACAATGCACAAAACAATGGTCTGAAGTAACTTTGAAGTCATTTCCGGTTATCAGGGTCCAGGAACAATACTAATTTAATAAGAGGTCATTTGTACTCTAGACATTAACTACCCAAACTGTGGTCCAGTGTGTCACCCGGGAGCTTATTAGAATCTTGGCCAGAGTTGCTGAATCAGAACCCACATTTTTAACAAGCTCCCCAGATGATTAATAAGTACATTAAGGTTTGTAAAGCCCTGTCTGCACTGCAAGTACACAATTGAAATAACCTGTTTTGAGATCGCTGCAAAACAAATCCAAGGAAAACTTGTCACCCTCTCACAGAAAACCTTTGGTGTCACTGAGGTGGGGAACAGGAAAAAGAATTTGAGACACATAAATGTTAAGGGAAGATTTTTCTTAATTGTGGGCAATAGGATATTATTTAACTGAACTCCTTTTAGCTGAAAGTGTTTAACTTAATTTCTGTACAATGAATGTCTATTCTTCAATATGACTTATGGCCAACTGACTGGTGAGGAATGCCAACTTCTTTTACAGGTTCAAAAGGATCCAAAATTCAAAAGATAAATTTGTGCAAGATTATATATCAGTTCGTAAGGGCAAGAAGCCAGATAATTCTATGACAAAAAATTATGCATTCTAGCCAACACATTCAAAGTTTCTAGTCTTTCCCTAAGCATGTATATCTCTCTTTAAAAAAAAAAAAAGTGCTGGGGGTTAGTGGTTCACACATTTAATCCCAGCGCTCAGGAGGCAGAGGCAGGCAGATCTCTGTGAGTTCGAGACCAGCCTGATCTACAAGAACTAGTTCCAGGACAGCCTCCAAAGCCACAGAGAAACCCTGTCTTGAAAAACCGAAAGAAAGAAAGAAAGGAAGGAAGAAAGAAAGAACGAAGAAATTCACTTCTATTATTAATATTAGGATGAAAACATCATGCAAATGCTAACAGAACATTTCTCTTTAAAATGTGATTCCCATTTTGTTTCTAACCAGTAAGTCTTCTCTCTGTCTCTGTCTCTCTGTCTGTCTCTGTTTCTGTCTCTGTCTCCCTCAAATGTCTTGTGTAGTTCAGGCTGGTCTTCAACTCATGATGCAGCCCAAGAAGTCCATAGACTTCTGATTTTCTAGCTTGCAGGTTCCCAGGTGCTGGGATTGTATCTTGTGCTCCCATGCACAGTTGACATGATGCTGGAGAGCCACCCCAGGTCTTTGTTTACTCGAGGCAAACACTACCAGCTGAACTACATCCTCACCACTTCTGTACTGGAAAGACTTCTGAGGGGGAAGGGGACCCAAAATGAAGACATTGTGTCATTGACAGGTAACAAGGGCATGTAGCTATTTGTAGATCCCTAAAACAGGCAAGGTTCCCATACTTCATTCTTACCAATATAATACCTCCTAAAATATACTCCTGAGTTTTAATATAATGATGAATTTTAAAAATAAGCAACTTCCACGATCTCAGAATAAACACTTACGTGTGATTGCTTTTTAAAAAGTTTTGCTAAGATGTGTGTCTAAAGTATGTTTGCTTATGTATAGGCATACATATTCAAGTGGCTTTCATTCCATTTTAACCAGGAGACATGTATTTTGAATATGCACGTCTCAAATCTATTAAATCTTTACAGCGTGATTCTTTCCAAGTCAGAGCATATGTATTCAGGATAATGGCAAACATCAGAGCAAGCTGGAACAAAGCAGCCTGTTTTCAGTGATCAAACATTGCCCCTGAAGGCTGTAATGAAAGAACCATGTGCCTTTGAAATCACCTTTTCTGTAATGCTACTTTTCTCGATAAAAACGACACATTAATATCCTTTCATGAGCTCATCCCTTACTTGACACTCCATATAAGCAATGCTGTGATCACATAGGAATAGTCGAAACAATTGGTTCAATAGGCTTTTCCCCCATTCCATTTCTCCATTTAAAAATGTGTGGCAGTCAGAAAGAGAAAGCTCCGTTATTTGGAGGTTATCTTCCCTGTGTTCAAACACACCATGGCCTAAACTAGGCCACACTTCATTTACCTCCTCGTTGACCTATCTATGCTCAACCAACCCTAAAGATTCAGCTAACACTCATCCTCAAAAAGTGCTTATAGCCAACCTAAAGAAACGCTCATTCCCTCCTGTACATTTGGAGATGAATTTCTAGAAAAGATACAACAAGCTAGTTAAATGTACAAAGCCTCCTCTCCCCACCCCACCCCAAAGAGCTACCATACAGTTTTTGTCTATTCTAGATCCCGAGTGAATGTTTTCAATACTAACCTTTACTGTAAATGATTACAAATTAGTAGGACTGTAACTGTCTTTCTACATCAGCATGTCCTATTCAAGGGTTGGTGTGGGGTATATTTTCTGTGTTTACTATCAAAGAGATAAGCAATGTCAGATTATCTAGCTGCCCTCAGAGTATTCTAAAGAGTATAAGGGGCAGGTGCTTCTTTGATGTAATTTTTACTTTTATTTTTCCATGTTAGATACTAGGGATTGAACATACGACCTTATGCATGTTGGGTAATATTGTGGGGTATTGGTACATTGTGTGAAAATATATTTCTGTGATTGATTTAATCAAGAGCTGAACAGCCAATAGCTAGGCAGGAGGTATAGATGGGACTTCCGAGCAGAGAGACAAAGTAGGAGAAGTATCTAGATGTAAGAGAGGTGCCAGAAGACACAGAAGCAGTATGTGACAGGACATAGACTAATAGAAATGGGTTAGTTTATGTTATAAGAGCTAGTTAGAAATCAAGCCTAAGCTAAGGCCAAGTTTTCATAATTGATATTAAGTCTCTGTGTCATTATATGGCAGCTGCCTGGCAGACAGAGAAAGTCTTCGTACAGGTAAATATCCCACAACTGGGCTCCATTGCCATAACCCATTTTCCCTTTTAATTTTGAGACAGGGTCTCATGAAATTGCCCATGCTGGTCCACAACTTGAGTAGATGGGATTACAGGCATACACCACAGGACTTGACTGCTACTTTCCTTTATATTTGGTTATATATGCTGGACTTTAAAGTGGAGCTCATGTGAACATTCGTGATAGATAAGGATGTGTTAGGAAGTCTTACCCGAAAAATAT